ACTTGCCTAATAATTCTGCACTCCCTGTATATGGCAAAGACCTGTTGTGGTGGGACGCGTCTACCTGTAAATATAGCATATGGTGATGCCTAGGTTGGTTCAGTCCTATCTCGTGGTCCTGGTGACTTTCTCTCCTGTCTCCCTGTATACTAGCAAGGTGCTTAACTGCCCTAAAACAATAAACAATGGAGACGTAGATTATCTCTTAATAACACAAACTCAAAGATAACCAAACAGACCAAGTTGAGAAGGTATGGCTTTTAATTTTTTTTTTTCGTCACAAAGTTTGTTTACAAAAAAAACAGGAACATCAAAAATAAAATTGTACCTATCTATTGCATGTCATGCTGGCAGTTTGAACTACATGCAAAAACAACAATAATAATAACATTGATAATACTCATTACTGTACAAAAAAAATAAAAAATAATGGGCAATATATCGGGCCAAACATCATTTTAAGCCAAAAGAAAAACACTCATTGAAAACAAGGAGAGTTCTATAAAAAGGGTGCTTTTCCCCCCTCCAGACGGAGTCATGTGTTTGTACATGAGACTCAAACACAAGCACAAGACTCGAGACTCGAAAACCACCCAAGCCGAGAGGGCTGTGTGAAACTGCATAGAGGCAGAAAAAAGTTTCCCCACTCTAAGGACAAAGGGATTGGGGGGGAATAATCAGAAGAGTAAGGATGAATGTGCGTGTGCTTCCATCGCAAACATCACATTCACAAATAGCCTGTACAGTTTGAAGCCCTTACAACGTAAAGTCATGCGTCATCATCATTATGGAAAACACAACAAACTACATGAAAATATCCTTAAACCTCAACCTCTTCACTATCCCTTAGATTGACTTGGTGTATAAAGTGATATCTGAGGTATATGGTTTAGTTTTATCCAACTACATGACAAACAATGAGTAAGGTGGGTTTTTTTTAATATTGATAATAAAAAATAATAATAATAATTAAAATTAACATTTTAAAATAAAAAAAAAAAATAAAAAAAAATAAAAAACTTCCCATGGCTACCCTAAACCTAGAGCAGCTTCTGTAGACAAAGACGGACATTTTCCAAATTCATTTCCAAATGAAGAGCAAGGTGTGAATCAACACTTTATAGTCTAAAAATCTGTAAAAGGTTGGAAATGACGGGAAGAAAAATAAATTTAGTCTGTGCAAAGACTGTTGTCAGGGACTGTGGAAGTGGATGCACAACGTAAAGTCATCCATTCAATAAGGGTGACACAAGCACAAGATTGGATGATTATAACGTATGATTGTGAAAGAGTCAATCAGCGTCCCTTTGGTTTTTGATCCAGTGTAGTAAATTTATTACAAAACATGAGTGTTACAAGATTTCAGGTCCCTCGTTGCAATGAGCCGTGCTTAAAATGAATTATTGAGAGTCCTTTTTGTCAAAGTTGATGGCATCCGTCTGCATCGCGTGGGCTGGTGTGCGTGCTGAGAGGAGAAAGTCTCCTAGCAGGGCTCATTCAGTGCTGACCTGCGTGACCTGTGTGTCAGTTGTCTGGTTGGTAGACTGGATGAACATTGGCTGGGTCAGCTCCTGTCCTGCTGGCATTGTCACCTGCTGTATCTGATACAATTGCTGAGAAAAAGGAGGAAAGATGGCGAGGTTTAAGGTTGCGTGTGTTCAGTTTTCTGTGAGCTTTTTTTATTAGATCTTAGTGGATTACACACCTTTCATTGTTACAAGATGACATTAAAAATGCTCAATAAGACATTTAATTTATGATCTTCTAATAACAATTCCCTCTACTGTTTGAATTAACAGGATTTAGAAGTGCAAATGTCCACTGGTTATCAGCCAGTTGTTTAAGTAGTTAAAATGAGACAATCCAAGAAAGATAGAAAAGCGTAAATAAGAACAATGTGCCATTTGTCACCTGAAAACAAATAAAACACTAAAATTTCAAAATTGTATTTATTTGTTGCATGTGTTACCTGGCCATCAGTAAACTGGCCGAATTGCTGCTGTCCTTGTTGTACTTCTGTCTGTGTGATCTAAAGAGAGAGCAAGTTATTCACTCACTGGGATTCACAAGCAGCTTCATACCATAACTGACAAGTGTAAACACATCCAGTCATAGTTTATTACAGCTAAGTGCTTGGACATCAGCTGGATTTCTTGCTGTTGTAGGGTTACCTGCTGGGTGTTTGCAAGAGTCTGAATCTGCCCCTGGACCACTTGTGCTCCAGAGACGGGCTGGGCTAGGCGGATGTATTGCAGCTGTCCCGTATTTAGTTGTACCTACAGCCAACCGACACAAGGGGGAGACAAAGTTTGGTTTAGAGAAAAGGTCATTTGAGCAGAGAGGTCACAGCCATTTTCCTGCTCTGGACTACAGGAATGAGAAACCTTAACGTTCCTCTAGTGAATTTTTAACCTTTTCGAACTTAACAGCTCACATCAAATACTGATGAATGTTAAATTCACATGTTTGTCTTGCACCACAATATCAAACAACATCATGCAGCAAACACATTACACTGTCCATCATCTCTCTTTAAAAAACACAAAACAAAACAAAACTGATAATTTCCTTTTCCATCCTGTCATTTCTTACTGGGATTTGCTGGATCTCTCCAGTGTTGGTGATGATCTGCTGCATGACCTGCATGGTCTGGCCTTGGGCTTGAGCTGTCTGAGCCTGACCCTGGGCTGTGGCAGCCTGGACAATCTGCACCTGCTGGCCTTCACCCACCTGCATGGCGACAGGCGCACTCTAAAGCAGACAAGAGCAGAAAAGAGAAGAAAACACAGATAAACAAACAGACGACACCGGTTGTTTACGTAGCAGAAGCGTGTAGTTAAGCAAGGAAGCAGTAAATCATTATCTTTTCTGGAGTACAATCAATCTTAAACCAAGAGTTGGAAGCCTAGGTATCCTTAAATTTTAAGTCTGCGAGTAGCTTATTAAGCAGGCACAATAAGATTCAGGGACATAATGTGAAAACGCAGGTTCGTCCTCTCTCTCTGTTTTGTCTGCAGGTGATGTTTGTTAGGATCATGTGACAATCACCCCTAAAGACCTCAGTCATCTGAGCAGGACAAAGTTTGTAGGCAGCCATCACCTAAGAGGCTGTGGCACAAAGCAGTGGCCTCTTTCTCTGTGTGTGGTTAGCAAACATATGAAAGCATGTGTGTTTACCGTGATGGGCGTGCCCTGTGATTGCACCTGCACCTGCTGTAACTGCTGCATGGTGGCACCTTGCAACATCTGATGGCCGACAGAAAAGAAATGGGAAAATGAGAGAAAGACACATAGTGAGAAAGCAGCGAGTGCACAAACTCAACACAAAAACGTAAGCGGAACTGGCACGTATGCAGAGAAAGATTGAAATGTAGGAGCAGCAAACAGTGGCATATAGGCAGTTGATGACATTTACGAGCATGTTTATGAAATATGCAAGTAAAACGGGAGGAGGTTGATAAAAAGGATGATGTGAAATGATAAAAATTAAATTGTTAAAAAAAAAAAAAAAACACAAAAAGAAAACATGGTGGTAACTGAACAGGTAGTTAAAAATGTATAAAATACATCACAGTTGCATTTACAGAAGCTCAACAAAGGCCAACTGCAGATTTTAAGTTGTTGAGGGTTGTTGGCCTGAGAGAAAAGTGACAGAATCTGTACAGCACTGACAGTGACGCTGAAAGCGCCACACACAGACGCACAAATAAAGGATGTGAAATGGGAACTCGCCTCATTTTAATCTCTGCACTGACTTATACTTCTTCATCCTGCAGGACTACTGCTAACACCTTAATGCGCACTCCAAATCTGTTGTACCAAACATGACATCTGTCTGATGAGTTAGAAGTAATCCAATCAGCTCCGTCTTTCACATGGGAATTATGTCATTTGAATAGACAACTACGTAACCTTTAGTCCTGACATTACTAAGTGGATAAAAACAATCAGAGAAATGTTGCAAAGCTTCAAAATTTCACAGATTTTAATTTAAAACTGAGTTAAAATCTCACCTTTTTGAAGTGCCACCTTGTAAACAGTCAAAGATTGCGTTTACATAAGGTTAATGTCAAAGTGTGGCTTGGGACTGCAGCAGGAGCAGGAGTGTGAATCACACCAGGTCTAAACAAGTATGACAGCTCAGCTACAGGCAGTGTGCTGAAGCAGCATGAAGCATCACACCAGCCCAGCAGCAAGGCTACATGACATGCAGAGTGCAAACCGGAGAGGAGGAGTGCTCAGCAGAAAAAGTAGCAGGAATGAAATAATTAGAGAGATGAACTGAATGGTGCCCCTACATATGTGTGCTTGTTATCTCGATGGGTGGTGAAAATGCAGAACCCTCAGGAGAAAAACCTCATCCTAGGACTCTGAGTGTGTATTTGTTTGCATATAAATGGGGATGTTGTTCCATTAAGAGGTTATTGATTCACAGTTTCTCCTGTCTTTTAGCTCAAACAGGAAGTATTTATGAAGTTGAGGACAAGTTTCTAGGGCAGAATATACCCCTCTCTCACTAATATGATATGCTGCTATACAACGCCTCTATTTTGGACTCAATATTACAGTAACTGTGTAAATTACTTAATAAGACGTATTTAAAGTTGAGTAAATAAGAGATCAGGGAACGTTCTGTTCCCCTGTGTGCAAGGTGTCCATGTATGTGTAAAGCTGGATTTGCTGGGTGTGTTTCGATGCCGTATTAATCCTGCTGGCAGGAGAGTGGTCAGCTCCTACATGTTAGCTACGAATAATATCAATAAATCCAGTGAGTCAATCCAAGAAATATGAGACTCCTAGGACTTCTAGGAAGAGGACTTCTAGAAAGAGGTCATCTTTCAGGTGTTACTCCAGCACACAATGAAACCAATTTTTTTCCCTCTAAAGTACCATACATGAGTCTAACGGGGATTTTGCAGAATTTGTTTTTGCAGGTGGTTTCACTTTGAGTGTTTCCTTGCGACGTGCACTACAAAGCACATTGCTAACCGTACCTGTCCCTGTTGCGGCTGTGCGATGATGATCTGTCCGGGCTGGATGGTCGCCGCTGTCTGCGCAGCAGGTTGCTGGCCCTGCTGTGCGCCCTGCACCTGCACGGCTCCGGGCTGCTGGGCCAAGGTGAAGTAGTACTGCACTGGCTCTGCTGGAGCTACAGACTGACGCATCTCCTCCTGAGAAATATACACACATTGGACGCCTATCAGTCCGTTGCATCTCCATGAATTATTTTTACCGGTGTAACGGTAGACCGAGTCTGATAAATAACTGATGGGATGTGACTGGGGAAGAGTAACGTAATCTGGGTACAAGATCCATCCATACTGGTTGATAACATGCAATGCAAGTCCGGAGGCATGCTGAGGTGATGTGTTGGTGCTAATCAGCCTTAAAATTTCAGTATTACAACCTGTAATGCTAAAGGGGTAACTTACAAATCGAATGAAACTTAATAATGTGATGACCGCTGGCATGCTTTCCCTGGTCCAGCAACAGAAATGTAACATCAGGGTTGTCAGATAAATCAGGGCAGTTCAGCACCTTAAATGCTGAGCTGGTATACAGGTGTTAAACTTAAAACCCAATAAACTGTCCATAAACACCGACCCATATCATTTTGTTTTGTAATTCACTAATGAGCAGGCTTCGTCTGGATGAGGTTTCTCCATCACCAGAAGCGTAAACACCCCTCTCCCAGCTCCATGACAACACAGCTGAGAGTGTAGGATGTTTACATGTCTGGAGACAGTCTACGTGACAGCAAATTTAAATATCTCACTCCTCCACCTTTGAAAGTTCCTTATACATCAATTTAATGTAACTGATATTGGCCATTAATCGCCTGCCATAACATTTTAAGCAGTTTTCTTTCAGCATCTTCATTGAGTCATGACCGGAGCCATGGTTTTAACACTTTGTTATAGCAGACACTGTATGGTACCAGCTTCCACAAACTAGTTTAATCACTGAGGTTACTGTTGGCGGTCTGAGGCAATAAGACGCTGCAAACATCCGACTGAAAGCCCTCGCTGTCAAAACCTCAGCTTCCAGTCAAGGATGTTTACAGCACCTCCAGGTTGCCAACAATGGAAAGTACCTGAGATGAATACCCAAATCATCAGCTCTTTATCCTGTGGTAACTTTAATGAGATACCAGCTGTTTCCCTGTCACAGTGTAGGTAATAAATACTATAATGAGGCCGCTTTCCTACCTGTCGTTTGGGGGGCTTCAGGTCGTCCCGGGGCACGATGTCAATCAGGAAGTCAAACTGGTCGAACTTTGTTATTGCCATGGCAATGTCATTCCTCTGTGAATATAAAATATAAAGAGAAAGTCAAGCAAAGAGGTCAGCGCTTTAGTATGCCAATTCTATATGCGCAGCCACCTATTTATAAACATGCCTCTAGGTCTGAGGTCATCACTCCCAAAACAACCAGACAAGGGAGATTTGTATACAGTTCCTAGTAGTACTTAGATGGGTGTTTGCTTTAATATTTGAATTTAAAGGATACGTTTAGAGCTTAATCAGTTAGTCAGCTCAAAACTCTAGCAACACATGCAGTATACAAAAGGACTGTGTTTCTAGACCAACACATCTTCACGAGTGTAATCTAATAAAAAGGTATTAAGCAGGGAACCAAAAACACCGTAACACATTCATCTACATGCAAATCGACCTCTAGGGCACCCAAGCCAAAACATGCTGATCTACCCATAAACGTCTTTGTTCTACACAAGTTTTGACTTCTAGCAGATCAGATTGATAATTAATTGTGCAATTCAAGTAACACTGTCTCCAAACAAAACATTACTAAAGGCAAACGGAATAATAAACCCACCACCATAGGACCACAGTGAGAAACGCACATGTGTGTGTGAGATAAGTGTAAATGAGGACGAATGACATTTTCCTGCCCTCATGAGCACATTCTCTGCTTCTATACCCCTTCCTATATCCACACCAGTGTGCTGTCTCTGTGGAATTTTCCACAGGATATTGGCTGTCAGGACCCCCCACCCCCCTCCATTGTGACCCTCCCCTTCACTAGAGGCTATATTTAGTACCTTGATTAATATCTGGTAACATCAGGTCACATCCACACTTGTTCTATTGATGAGCGTTGCTATGGTGACCCCAATTGGCGTGCCCTCTTCACAAAAGGATCAGACTCTACATGTGTATGCGTGTGGAAATGGAGGGCACCACTTTCCCTCACTTAGGGAAATGAAAAAAAAAAAATCCTGTATTCATGAAGTGAAGCATCACATGCAACTAATGCGTCATCTGTAGTGTACAAGGCAATTAACGTGTGCACAGTCACAGTAGATGAAGTTTCTATTTTAAAGTGTGCACTGCAGAGCTCTAAAAAACAGTTTCTTGACCAATAAAAAACATAGAACTACCATTTGGGACAGAGCTATATTAACAGCAAAACTTCAGCACAAGACAAACTGTGATAAGATAGATTTTCTCCTCTTTCTACCTGCGTTGGCATACACAAACATATCCATGGACTGCTAATCTCTCAGAGGTATGTGAATGGATAAAGTGGACTTAAGGGCTTTTATGTTCTGCTCCACAGTTTTTCTCTACTTGACATGCAGGTGAGACATATTCCAGACTGATTCTTCTCAACCGCTTCCGTCAGTGCTTTCATGTTCTCCGATTCCTTTTTCATCCGTATCTTTCCAGGCCTCACCTTTATTCAGCTCTGGTACAGCAGAGGATGCTAAAAGGCACCAGGGGAAAAGTGGGTCACCGGCACCCGCCTGGATTTGCTTTTAAAGTGAATGGAGAGAGAAGGAACTTAACAGAGAGACCGTCCTCAAGGGGATGCTGGTATGGGGTCTCTGCTTGTACATGCACACTGACACTGGCACTTAGTGAATAAGAAGCACGAAACCAAAAAGATAGCCAATTGATGTCAGAGTGTGGGTATTACAACTGGGGCTGTGTGTGTATCGGGAGGTCCAATCCACTTAAAGTAGGATTTGCTAAGGATTACAAAAAAGCATGTCATATGGAGGAGTTTAAATATAAAGAAAAAGAAATGTCTATAACCTGTAGTGTGCGTCGCTTGTTGTCCTCGGTGTGGATCCACGCCCTGAGGGTGAGCTCTGTGATGAAGATCTGAGCTGCTTTGGCAAACAGGACCGGAGCTTCTGCGCTGATCATCTGTACAGTAGAGATAGTGTTACACCTGGTTAAACACACCCACTGTCTATCAATCAAACATCAGCAATTACACGAATCGCTCAGGACCTCAGTCACAGCCGGCTACATCAAAGTCACAGCTGCTGCAAAAATAACCAACAGATACATTCACTTGTTAAATAAAGACTGCGTAGTTACTAGCATAGATGCTTACGCAGAGTTGAGTGGGTACTTTTAATCTATTTCTTTCTGCTCATAAGCACTGAACTCTAAAATCAATTCCCATAAAAATGTATTTCTTATATGTTCATAAAAGCAATGCTTAAATGAACAGTTGTACTGACGCTATAACACTCACACATGCTTGCACTGCATCTGTGCAAGGTGCTGTGTCAGGACTGACAGAAGAGTCTTTCCTTCAGATATGTTAGTGATCTCCTGATCTCTTTACCGCTGTAAGCTGCTGCTTAACTAAGGGGATAGCATTCTTGACACGACATACTCAAGCCACACACAAACACAGAGCAGAGGCTTTCTTTTTAGAGGCTATGAACAATTCTGACTGGCAATCAGGTGTAATGGGGGGAATCACTCCTCCATGACTCGTAACTGCCTGGTGGAGTGGGTCCTTCTGACACATCAAAAAAAAGAAAAAAAGCCACGTTAACCTGAGCAGATCTTCAAATGTAGCAGTGGTATTACAATATGGCCCAAATCAATGCTTTTATCTGTAATAACTTGTGATATTCTTCTGGTTCATTTTAGCCATTAACATGAAGTGCAATTCCCAGCAAAGTGGGTTATATTTTAAAAATTCCACAAGTGGAAAAAGAGAAATCTTAAAACCAAAAAGCAGTTCACTGCTACAAATGTCTGCATTAGCAGCTTTCTACATAAAATCACATTAATTAGCTACTTGCTACACTGCAGGTCTTGCAACGTCACAAAATGATGCCCAATTATTCCTTCACGCATCGATAATGTTTTAACGTAAACCCATTTCATACAAAAAAAGAAAAAGAAAAAAAAAGAGCTACTATCACCAGTGGCTGCTGAATGCAAAGAGTTGATACAACTTTTTAATTGAAAAATTATCTTTAATTATGAAATAATAATTGCATCTTTGAGTCCATTTATTGAGTGGTCTGAGCACAAAAAGCCACAGACCAACAACTTGATAAGAACCAAGCTTCAAATGAATCAACAATTTCCAACACAGCAATACGTTTTTGTCAGAAAATAAAGTTAAACTAGAAATATCAAACGGGTGACCAATTAGACGAAAACAACAGAACTACATTTTGCCATAATTTGTCCTGTCCCAGGGGACTGGAGTAGTTTCTTCCATATAGATGGATCACGACAGGTCACCGTGTGGTCTGGTATGTGAATTATATATTATGTAACTTCACAGTTACCAGACACAACCCAAATCACCAGCTATGGGACGTTTTGACCCAACGCGCTGGACAGAGCTCTTTATTGCACGTCTGTCAAAAAACACCACGAGAAAATATATCTGCAGGGAAGTGGAGTATCACCTCACAAGATACTTTTTTTTTTTTTTTTTTTGGGGGGGCCTAGGATTAAGCTACATGTTTCCCACTTTTGATAGCATGTTCTTTAAAACAAGTATGGCACACCCTTCGTGAAAGGCATAGTAATAAAGATATCTAGTTCTTTTTAATACACACCCTCTCTCTCAGTTTCATTATTCAGGTTCTCCTCTTACCTTCACATCCTCATCCAACTTCATGATTTTCTTGATTCGGGCTAAAGGCAACTCCTGCACACGGAAATCCTTCTGAGGACAACAGATTGATACAGTTAAGTACAGAATAAAGCTGAAACTGCGACTTTTTCCTTTTTTTCTGTATTATTTGTCTGTTTGCATGAGTGTTACGTACCACAGTCAAGTTCCTGATCTCCTCCATGACACGAGGCCAGAAGGACTGCAGTGTTTGCTGGGCATCGCTGCCCGTGGCTCCAAAACCATCTCCAGACATCTTCTAATCTGCTCAAAGAGAAGAAGAGAAAGAAGATGATGGATACAAGAAAATGATCGATCATTTCAAAGCAAAAAACAAGCGATATGGAGATTCGGAGACAGATCAAGAATGTAATACCATTGCAAAACAAGGTCTTACTGCACAGAGCTCTTCCTGTGTGTCAGAACCACATATCCTATCAAAGTCTGTAATTATAATACAGTGAAATTGAAAATAGAACCCCGGCAGGCTTCTATTATTGTCCCTGTGGGATGTTGACAAGCCTAAGAACCCACCAATAGACTGGCTGCGCACTCCACGATTATGAATGGGTCCCTCACCTTTGGCACATAGCTGCAGCTCCTCTACAAACACGCACATCATGTGCAAGTCAACTGCTTTTGGTGAGCCCGCAAGTGAACAGTGTTGAAGCAACAGATGCAAGAGTGTGCCATAAAGAAACAACCTAATTGCAAACTGACAAATTGTGAAGACACGCAGAGATACAAACCATCCAAATAAACTGAAATAAATTACTGCTAACACAGCCAGAGCTCCTACAGAGGATCCAACGGTTGAAAGAGGATCCAGCAGGTTACTATGGCATGCCAGGAATCTGCTGGAGGAATATTAGCCGGCCTGTCTGAGCATGTAGAGCTTCAAGTGCCCTGATTGTTCCACCTCACTCTCCCCCTTTTCTCCGTACCTCGATGAAAAGATTGAGCAGGAGGGAGAAGACGGAGAAACGTGAAGGGACAGAACAAGAGATGAGTGTGTAAAGCTACTCACGAGAGACTGGATATGTTTGTGTGTGCTGCTGTGGGAGGGCTAGTGCCTTGTCCAGTTCAGCATTAATCCAGCGCTAAGACAAAGTGCCAAAGGCTTTAGACAGATACTTTAGGGGAAGTAAGAGACAGACAGGGCCACAGCGACACTGCTATGCAAACCAGCAATGTGGGTCAAACAAGACAGAAAAAGGGAGACACAGAGTGGTAGAAAAGGAGATATGTCACTATAAAGAAAATGTTAGAAGAATGAAGGGGGGGGGGCTTCTTTTTCTTTTCTCACCCTGGGCCAACAAGCATGAATAGTTCCATGTCTGGTTCAGCTGACAGACCAATACATTACAAGAAACAGCCTTTCAAACACGCCATCCAGTGTCTCTCCCTCTAGGTTCAGTCACAGCTTTGTTGTAAGGGACTGTTTGACTTTGGGGCCACATCAGCTCTTTTAACTGCAGCGCTTAAGTGCAGTTATAAATATTTTAAACCAATGAACGACTGATTCTGCATGCAGGCTCGTTACCTGATTGATTTTTGACAGGAAAGATTGACTCTCCTGCAAGTTGCATCAGTAGAATAATATAGAAGAAGCACTGCTGCATCCTGTTCTGTTGTTCAGTTTTCGACAGACAGTAGCCTAAATCAATAAGACAGAATGCCGGGTGAGAGAGGGGGGAGAGGGGGCTTTATATAAATCAATCAGGCCGCTTGTAGCTATGGCATGCCAGGCTAGTGATTGACCTTGACAGTGTCTCTCCTTCCCTGTCTGACGCTCCAGTGTCCAGTTGCATTTCAAGGTTGATTGAAAACCTGCAGTCTCCAGAACAATCCCAGCATCCCACAGGGCAGGAATGACTGATGGGAATTGTAGTTTTTTTTATTCCTCCATTCTTCCCACATAAGACAGGTGGACTGACCTCTGCCAGTTCTTTTGCTGCTTCCAAGTACCTTGCAACAAAATGAACCCAAAGACGGGATGAACAAAATAAGCATCATCCACATAACACATCTTGTAAACAAAACAATTTGGTATCAATGAATGTGCATTATATGTGAGACTATGTGGTTCAAACTGGGGCAAAATAAGACGATGGGAAACAAATAATTAGGCTTAGGATTACAGAAGCCCTATCAGTTATAAAACGGCAACTATAAAACACATAAACCTCCCAAGTTCCTCCTCCTGCGCCCTTATACACCTCACTTCTCATAAACTAAAGCTGTTAGAGGAGTGTGCTAATATCAAACCACACACAAACCCCCAACTACCGCTTTCTGACCCTGTAACCTTCAATGTAAATATACGCAACTACATTAACCACAGCGGCAAAAAGAGGGAGGGGAGGTGCGGGGGAAGTCGCTATGTGAGAAGAAATGAGAAAGCATATGTGAGGAGAGGCATGCTAAAGCGTGAGAGAGGAAAGAAGCAACAGAACAATATAAGCGAGAGAGAAGAGAAGGCTAAGTGTCAACATGCCCTTGAGCATTGCTCCTCCAGCTTGGTAGCATATTCTACCGAGTATATAACTGCATAACCAAATTGCCCAATGCTTTGCATCAACGGAAAGTTTGCGTGGGAGCCGATTCCGCTGACTTTGTGCAACACCTTCTATGGTCTGGGCCTACCCTTGTCAAATAAATACAGTGAATGGGGCTATCCTCTGCACGAAAAAAAAATGTTGAATCTCCTCAAAAGCTAATAAATGTCAACACTGTAAGACACGAAAAAGGTCTGGAGATTGATGCAAAGTCAAGACGGCTTATTTTATCTGAAGGGATAAGCACCATTTACCTCCATATTTCAGTTCAGCAAGCTTTAAAGCGCTACTTAAATGGAAACTTGTACTATTACTAAAGAATTTTCTTGCTAGTCCAGTTCACTTCTTACTACTTATGGGGAGCGTTATCAGTCACTCAAGATAAAGTCTCTGTAAATGTTGTGCTTGTGTTTGCTTTGAAGCAGACTCGCTATTGCTAAAAATTCCAAATTATTCTGTTGAATCACGCAATGAACTTGACAAGCTCATTCCTGCTGTGTTGTTCTAATCTGCTGCTGTTGCTATATTAGGGTACATGGTGTTGTTCTCTGCTGTGCTTCTCTCTTCTCCTCTTCCCTGCAGCTCTGTTGTCCTTCATCAGGTCATCGAGACAGAATCGCTGGTGTTGGGTTTCCTTCAGCTCTATTCTATGTGTGCATCTTTGAGGACAAACGTCTCGACCTCGTCGACTTCGTTCCAACACAGCAACTTGCTCTTCCTCCTTCAGCAGCTCTACAGTCTCTTCTCCTAGCGCTTCCCTTCTCCCTTTATCACTCACGAGTATGCTTTTCTTGCATTTTCTGTCTTGTCTTACTTTCACCTGATCTCTTTGAGAAAGTCAACACTGCTCGGCTTCCAGCAGCTGAATCAGCGCTAATGCTGTTCTGCCAGCCGGGCCCTGCATCTCTATCTCATCCTCACCTCCCTCCCCACTCTTTCTGGCACGTCACATTAAGTGGCCATTCACAGCAGCACTGGCGTCTCGCTCGAACTCTGACATCACACCGCTTTACATGAGCTTTCAATTCCTGTCCAAATAAACCCGATAGGACCCCGGCTTGATGGCAGGCAGAAATGCAGCAAACTGGAAACAAGGAGATAGTATCGCTTGGCTGATCCGTTTTTGTTTTTTTCTTTTTTTAAAGATAAGTGAACGAGAAAAGAAGAGGTAACATGCTTCTTTCTGCACAGTGACAATGTGCGAGATAACAGAGTTGGAATTAATTAACTGGCTTCTAGTTAAAGTGAAATGTTCTGCTTTTAATTGCCCTCTTAATGACCTGACAATCTGTGTAAACTGAGCCCAATTCTGAGGAGCATATTTGAAAGTGAACAAGTCGAGGCAGTGTGGGAGGCCCTGAAGCCCCACTCGAGGCTACCGAGTGAACTTTTCACTGAGGTGTTTCAGTATCGCCATCACCGCCATGGATGATGAAGAAGCAGGCAGCTCATCTCAGATCTCTCTGTCGCGTCACGTGTAAGCAAATGTAAAGCTAAGATAAAGTGAATCATATACTGAACCTTTATATATTTATACTGAATCTTCAAAGCCGGTTGACCATTTTTAAAATAATATTAAATATGAATATAAAGAGTTATTGCTGCCTCACCATTTTTTCAGATTAGTGTACAACTGCATGACAGCTACTACAGCAGTTGTAGTTTTAAAGAGTGACTTCTTGCTTTACAACTCTCCTTTCAATTCCCAAGGTTATCATATCTTTGCACATATAAAGACAACTGAGTTGACAGAAGAAATAGATTACTTTCAGTTTCTGTGCGTATTATAACCTCAGAGTAACCTTCTGCATTGTACCCTTCACACTTTCACACGTCAGCCTGGACAAAGAGTAAATACATACCCACATAGACTAGTTACCACCAAGAAGAAAGGTGAGATTTTTTTCCTAAGATATAATACCAGCTATTGGATAGTCACTGGTCCACTGAGAGGTCTTAGGCAAGAAGTTAAATTTCCACATGCTGCTTTGTCACAAAACTGTCAGTGATGCAGAGTGGGCATTTCTGGAGGAAGGTCACCTAAGGTTGAAATCTGCTAGATTTCAACTAGATCACTAAGCAGAAAACTCAGTATAGTGCTCACATAAACCAAGCTAAGTCATTCGGACATTTGAGAACCTAACCAATGTTTAATGATGACTGTTTAATAAGACAGCTTTATCCTGATTTAGTGCACTCAGTCTGTTGGAACAAATACAGCCTAAGTAACAAAGTAACACACTAACAAACACTGATGTTAAATCGTGGTCATAAATCCAATGAGCGTATGCACAGATTCTCAAATATTAAAGCACTAACCGTGCTGAACCCGATCACAAATACCAGTCAGAAATAAACTGGCAAGGATACAGCATACAGGGTAAATGATCTACTCAGGAAAAAACAAAAAACAAGAAGTTTGCAGCCAGGAATTACAGATTAACTACTCAAATGCACGCAGTGGTTTCACAGATGGTGGTACAATTAAATATGAACAGACAGGATTTTAATGACACACATGCTCACTTTGACCTACAGCATAACATCCTTTTGGCATGGCCGGACCGATCTAGCCGACCCAACGGCCCTGTAAACTTTGCCCTTGGTTCTGCTTCAAGCCAACTCCAGGAAGTGCTAGTCACTGATCTCCCAAGGTCATTCAACAGAGGAGAGAAACCAGAGAGGGGGGAGGGAGAGAGAGAGAGAGAGAGATGAAAGAGAGAAGGGGAGGGAGAGGGGGAGGATAGAAAAGAGCAGGTTTTCCAACTTTCACTGCAGCACTTAAGTGACCCCAGCGGTTCAGGCTGTGTACTTTCTAAGAAGCCTAATGAAAACACCACATAATGTACATACTAGCTGTGCTCTGCATCCCGCTTTTAATTTCACTTCTTCTTGGGCCTCTCCTTCCCTCTGCATGTTTCCCTCTCGGTGCGGTTGGAGAGACTGCAGGAGTCAATCTCACATTCCTATGACCTTCATCCAATGCTAGGCCCAGTCTCTGGCGTCAAAGTAGGCAGGGCTAAAGGCACCTGCATATTACAAGCTGGGATACGGCCGACTCCCCCTGGGTGCCGACACACACTGTCTTTAGAGAAAGTGTACACATGTAAGAGCACAGTGGGGGCGGGAACAAAAGAGTAAACCTACAGTTGCTGTGGTCACCTTAGTGATGAGCGGAAAGGCCTAGCTATGTGCAAGAGGTTTGCGTGTTTTGTTTACTTTTTCCTCCCCTGGTGTGCCTATGGTTCGGCGTAGGGTACAAATGATATTCAAATCTAATGCAGACCGCAGCCAACCCTGGGATTTGGCAGCGAGGGCTTCAACTTAAGAGTTATTTTTAGTCTCCCTCTCTCAATCTCCCTCGCTCGCTCGCTCTTTCCCCAACGGGACTTTGTTTTGTCAAAGGCACCAATGGAAACTTTCAATTAGGGAGAAAAGGAGGAGAGAGGCACGGAGTCAGAGGCAAAGTGAGAGAAGAGGCACCCTACACAGATTCCATCAGAAGAGATCAGATCAAACTATTAGCCTCCTCTGCCCCTGAAGCTGACAAGCTGACAGTCTGTCCCATCTGGGTGTCTGGCACTGTCATGGTGAGGGGCCTGGGGGGTCCTGAGGTCACTGCAACCAGCTGCACCTCCACCCCTGGGGACTACTGACGCCAACAGTGACAACAACTCTCAGAGATATCCTCTCCACATATACAGCAAATCTTCTTTTAACATGGATGTCTTCTTTGCTGCTGAACTCTGCGCCACCATCTGCCATGAAAATGTTAATTGGGACATTAGGAGAAAAAGTGGGGTCTTGGCCAGTGACCCCAAGACTCTGTGGCCACAGGGCCCAAGGACACCACCGAAACAGCAGAGTGCATCTAAGCACAAAGTCAGTATCTGGCTGCCGTGCACTTCTATGCAGTCGATAACGGGGCACTGAGTACGTGAAGCGTGTTTGTGTGTGCACACTGGTCCAAAGTCAAAACAAGTGACATCCAAAGACAGAGCAATAATGCAAAGTGAAATTCGACGATGAAAACATAATGCTAAACAGCTATATTATTTTATGAACACCGTTCTGTAAAACCATATAGCACTGAAATGACAAATGAAGGACGTAGATGACAGCCATGCACGTAAATACACAAATTGCACAACACCAATCTCCCAAGGTGAGAACTACAGGACAGGTGAGGGGAGGGGGAGGAAATGGGGGGGAGGGGTGAGGATGGCTGTAAAGGACAGACATCTCATCGTTGCAGAGTGATGGAGAAACATCAAAAAGTGGACTTTTTTTTTTTGAAAAAAAAAACCAAAAACCAAAGACAACTTAAGGTCTTCTCACTGTGTATGTGTTCAGCTGTCAGACTTACCCCTGTGCCCTTCATGGTGAACGGCCTGGAGCACAGCAGAGTAGAGAGAAACAGATAGCCCTGTCCAAGTCTCCTTGAAAGCAGCAGCAGAGGCAGCACAGAGGTTGACAGAAAAACTCTCGTGCTCCTTCACTTCCTTCAGTCCCCCTGATCGTATCAACAGACAAAAGGCACTCTGGCTGGCTTTAAAAAGGCTTTAAGCCCGGACACAGAGCGAAGAGCGAGCCCCCCCTTCTTCCACCCCTCCCTCTTTGCTCTCTCTCTCCCACTCTGCCTTTACACATTGCCCCGTCTCCTTCAACAGCCTCCCAATGTCCTCTTCCAACCTAGACATACAACCCCGTCTCTGCTGTTTCTCTTCAGCCCAATTCCCCTCAACTCGCTGACCTTCTCTCTCTTTCTCCTCCTTTTCTGCTCCCTAACCCTCCTCCTCCTCTCTAGCCGGCGACCCATGTGTTTGTCTTTGAGGTGACCCCTGGCCTGGTGCAGAGAAGAAGGTGAGAAGGAATAGAAGGACCAGCACAGCGGCAGGCAACAGAGCAACAGCAGGCAAACAGTACAGCGGCACTCCCGACTCACAGACAAAAATCTCTAGCCTCCTTCCCCTTTAACATTCAAGAGTAATCAATCTAGCATGCTACATGATACTCAAACCCCGCCTCACAGCCAGCTCCCACCTCACTCCGATACTCGAAACCAATGAGACGACTGTGTCCTCACACACTATTGGTAGCCACACACACCAATCAGCTCTGACAAATCCCCTGCTCCTCCTCTTTCCTCTGCCCAACCCCCTTTTACCGACAGCCAACTTCCTGCTCTAAGTTACCTTGAGCTGCAGGATAGGGGTCAGGGAAAAGAAAAGAGGAAGAGAGAGTAGACATGAGTATAGATGGAAAAGAGCAGATAAAGTTGTGGAAAGCTCTGCAGGGAGTGCGTGAGGGTGTGCTGGTTGTGGCTTGCCTTGCCATTGTCTGTCCTCAAGCGGTCTCTACTTCTCCTGCTGCTGGACGGATGAAAAAGCTTCCACGGGCTGCTCTCTGACAACTGCTCTCTGCTTATTTACAATGTCAAACTAAATGTCTCCCTAAGCCCCGCCTGCGCTCTGCTTGTACAGGCTGATGGCAATGTGATGCAGGCAGCTAGGCGGGTCCCTTATTGGCTGAACCAAGTGCCAGAATTGATGCCGCATGTTGCATCCACATGATTTAAAGTACAAAAGCATACTAAGCAGACTCCCTGTCTCATACCTGTGCACGGTCTTACATGCACACCCACACACATGCACATTTTGTCCTTGCATTCTCAGTTATCCTTGCTCACAGTCACAGGTACACAATGAAAACATCTAACCTCCAGCCAGCCTACCTCTAACAATGAGATCACGTCACTCTTAATATTATTCTAACAGAGGAACAAATATGTCTACATGCATGGTCATGCATTATTTATTCAGAATATGAATTAGCTACATGAACTCCATTCAACTCATTTTTTGAGGCAACTTAATGCAACCACTATAAATCCCATGACATCTTACACAGTGTCAATGAAATACACACAATAAACTATTCTGTGCAAAACAAATCAATGGAGCGCCTTTGTACAAAATGGAACAATCAGCTGACTAGATAGCAGTTGTGGAAGAAGGCAGAGAGAAAAAAAAAAAAAAAAAAAAGAGAAAGAGTTCATTTGACTCTCATCCTATTTGTGGATAAACAAGAATTAAGAGATATGGGTGAAAACCCATAAACAAAGACAATGTTGTCTTGACCCCAAAAACTGTGCTCACAGCAACTTCCACAATGGTAACGTCATCAAAAAAACCATGTCAGCAATGTCACACAATGTCCTTCTTGTTAAGTCTCCATTGCTTAAATGTGCATACTTTCGACACAAAAACCTTTAGTTTGCAACTCAAGAGAGTGATTTTAGTACTCATGTGCACAACTCATGATGTTTAATGCACCACCTACGATGTGAATGCTTCTACTTCTAATGGGCAAACCTGTTAAAAGCTTAAAGTAAACTGCTGAGATGCGACCAAGTGGCGGTGCAGCCCAAAGGTTAAGCTTTAATAAAAAAATAAAAAATAAACCATACAGACTGTAGAGAGGAACACATCCAGCTACAAAAGTCTGGAGAGATAATAAACTGCCCTATCAATGAAAAACCGTGGTGGGGGTGGAGTGGGGACCGGAAGGATGGAGAAGGACAGAGAGGAGAGTTGCTACAGGATGGGAGGGGTAGAACAAGTGGAGGGAGGGCGAGAGCACAAGATAGACTCAAGAGAAACAAAGCTAAATGTTCCCTTTACTATTTTTGTGAGGAGCATGGGGACTAGAGCAGGTACTACAGACATCCAGTTAATGATTAGAGCAGAGCTGCACAAAGACTAATCTCTCCACTGCTGCTGCCATGCTCGAACAGCTCTCTGTAGCTGCATTCAGCCTACCCAAAATGCCTCAGTAATGACACCTGGCAAGGTCACCGCAGAAATGAGACCTTCCCATGACCTGTACTGCCCATAGCAGGAACATGTTTGCTTTCTCTGACGCTGTTTAGAGATAAACATGCACCAAGTAGACGTTGGGTTTCATAAACACAGCAGCTACCCTGAGGGTAGCCAGGCCAAGCATTCACCTGCAAACATGGAAAAACACATGAGCACCTGCAAAACGACATGGTAAGCTGGGTGACTTGCACACAGCTTACTTAAGCTGTCTAAGGTGTTCTAATATCCCAGGCTTTTTAAATATGATCTCAACTGCTCAATTAAACCTACACACAAATGATGACGTAATGCATACCTCCTCTAGAGAGATAAAGTTTACTAAGCTGCACACCGTTTTTGCCCCGCCGATAAGAGCTGATTAAACTCTCATATTCTTTATTAAGTTCTTATTTTCGTGGGAACACAAAGAGACTATTGTTTTTTGCACACAGGTCGTAATGAGAATGGGGTGAATGTCTGTTAGGTTTAAAGCATAACTAAACTAAATATTAACTTGGTGAAGCTTCATGTTGTGTGACTTTGTTTGGTTAGTATGGTTGAAAATACATTTGTATTCATTAATTGAACACTGTGTGAAGATTTTTTCCCCAAAGTACTAAATAGTGGAAACAAAGGCATGATATAGTCATCACAGGGAATTCACACGAAGACTAGAGCAGCTTTGCTGTTTAACACCCCAGCATTTAGCACGGAGTTTGACTTCAAAAAGTCGCTACATTATAAGGTGTTTGGGTTTAACACAGAGGCTAACAGGAGCCACTGAATTCAATGCTATATTCAACGCTAGCATACGGAAGCCGGTATATATTCGTCACACAAAGGATGCTAAATAAACGACAAAATACTGAGATGCACTGTAGTGCTGTGTATCCACTGTGAAATGCTTAACGGAGTAGGCGTAGGGAGACACATGCAGCATACTAGCTAATAGGATGGTCACTGCCGATGGTGACTTTATGCTAACGTTAGTGGAGTTAATGTTAGCTTGCTGGGGATACAGACTGATGAGCACTGTACAGCTCAGCGTGTGTAATTTTAATTACCAGCTGACAGCGAGCCCTGCCAACATATGAAAGTTTGCAAAGGTTTGCAATGCTAGGAAGAAACAGTCTAACCAATAAAGACAACGTTTGGATCTGTCCTTCAGACCAATCAAACCTCGGACTAGATTCCACCAATCAAGGTTTTTAGGGCTAAGTTCGTTCTGCAACTGGCGCCATTCGGGGTCAGGAGCAAATAGCCAGTGTGTCTGACAATCGCTCGGATATGAGCCAAAATGGTGGACACAAAACATCAGTTTCCTGAGCGTCCGTGATCCTTTCAGCGGGCCACCAATAAGCGCCTCAGAGAGCGGGGAGGGAAATGGCGCCTATGTTCATCTTCCAAAACAATCGTCTATTGGTCAAGAACAGCAAATGAAAAGAAGCGAAGTAATTACCGCTACCTCCAGCCAACACGGACAACTTTCATGTAAACACTCCACATATAAATGGATTTTAATTTCTTACTCACTTTCTTTAACGGGTTCGAAGTGAAGTCCAGCTCAGCGTATTATTTATTTTATTTAGCCTGCAAGGGGAAACAAGATGGCTGCTATTCGAACCGGAAAGAGTCCAACGCGATGACGTAGAGGTTACGTTCCCTGAGAAACCGCGTCAGTTTTTTTTAATTATTTGATTCACTAAACAGTTAATTGCTCAGGTAGTCCTCATTTATAGTAAAATTAGCAAAGTGACTTGGAAAAAAACAACAAATGCATTTTATATATACACAGATACACAAAATGAGCATCGGAATGGGGGAAAAGGTGATTTCATTGACTTTGAATGAGGCATGGCTGCTGGTCTGAGTATTTCAGAAACTGCTGATCAACTGAGATCTTCACAGTCAACCAAAAAAATAAATATATCAAATCAAATCACTTTTATTGTCACATCACATGTGCAGGTACACTGGTACAGAACATGTGAGTGAAATTCTTGTGTGCAAGCTTCATCCATATATCCAGTGAGTTCTCTGAGAGAAAATGCCTTGTTGATGTCAGTGGTCAGAGAACAGACTGTTTCAAGCTTAGAGGAAGGCATCAGTCACTCAAATAACCACTCATTAAACACAATTTATGCAGCAGCGTATTTCTTAATGCACAATAAGTCCAACCTTGAAGTAGATGAGCTTTAGCTGCAGAAGATCACATTGGGTGCCACTTGTGTCAGCTAGGAACAGGAAACTGAGGCTACAATTTGCCCAGGCTAAACAAAATTGGGCAATAGAAGATTGTAGAGCAGTCAGTGTTTTCCTCAGAGTCTCACTTTCTGCTGCAACATTCAGATGGTAGGTTCAGAATTTGGCATAAATATGAAAGCCCTTCCCTTTATAACCAGTGTTCCCATCTTCTAATGGCTGCAGCCAGCATGATAAAGCACCACAAAGCTCAAATGATCGCAAATTTATTCAGTTAATTCAAAATAAATTCACTGAAAATATGAAATACAATGATGGCAATAACAGTATTACTTCTCTGGTTGTTGGTCAGTAAGAAATTTGAAAAAAATGAAATGATTACAACTGCAGTAGACAAGTGTTTTAATTCTTACACCAGATGTCAACATTTGATCAACCAAGGTCTTTGCAAATATCCAACACAAACAACAACAAAAAAATAGAAAGAAAAATGAAGGGAAAGAAATTTAAACCCAAATCACATTTTAAAATCTGAACTTTACCTTAAAACACTGCATTACAATAAATGATTATTAAGGAGATTGCAGTGATGACATTTATTTCCTTGCCACAAGTTCCAGGAGGGCGGAGGTGATTTTGTCCAGGTTGTTAGAGTACCGGGGTCCTCTGGGCATCCTGGATTCTTGATCCATGTGGAGGGGAGGTGCAGAAGAGTGAGAGTCGAAAAAC